CCTCACTTTATCAATCAAACACATACTAGACTTGCACTGGGCTCCGCCAGTGCAGGAAGAGGGAAAAGTGTTTTATTCGTGCAAAAATCACATCACTTACTACTATCTTTTTCATGACCTGGCTGCGTCGGTAGAACTTGAAATATAAGAGCTACCTAAAGATTGGGAGTCTTACTTACCTTTTAGAGGTTAGAACATGCATTTTAATGAAACCATATCACATTTGTTTTGTTCATGATGAAGCATAAGCACAGTACTTGATTGAAATTTGTGTAAATGCTTTTTTGACTTTTCGATTTTTCCTTGTGTTGACTTCCGGGAAGGCATTGCCCCTATCATGAAATAATGCTTGACCCTTGAACTTTAATTTGGTAACATGTCATTCAACTATGTCTGATATGAAAATAATAAGTATATTAAAAAAAGAATGTTTTGCAGTTGTTTGTAGACAAGTTTAGGACAATGCAGAGGAGGATGGCCTGTTCTAAGATAGAAGAAACTGCATGATTTACATTGGAACTATTAGTCTGAACAAAATGCTGCACAGAAAGTATGAATGTGTCGTCTGCTGTATTAGTCTATTAATACAGTAGGACCTGTTTGTGATGCTTTATAATTTAGACCAATATATAAAAGAATACACATACGTGTAAATCATAAATCAACGAACATTCAATTTTCAAATTATGTTCTTAATTTTTCGTATTGAAGCGTCCAGAACTTATCATTCATTTTCACATTCAGTATTTTAATTCTAGGATATTATCGTCAATATTTCTACAACGTTGGAGAATGTATTACACATTGCACACTTGAAATACCTACCTCGTTACAGTTCTGAATATCTATTATCTAAGGATTCTTTTAACGCAGCTGAATCACCAATTGTATCGGTTAATTGGCAGAACGAAGAGATTATTGTTTTACATCAGGAATATTTCACCACTTTTGAAGATGTCGGAAGGGGAATCCCCTTTTACCAGACGAAAGAATTTTGCGATTAAAAACGAAAATTTCCTCTTTCTGCCGATTAACCTATATGATTGTGGATTCAACTGCATAAAAAGAATTCTAAAACCCAGTTAGTTTAATGTAGTTGAATCCCTAATCGTAAGGATTAATCGGCAGAACGAGGCAATTTTCGTTTTTAATCACAAAATTCCTCCATCTAGACTCAAGGAGGATTGGCTCCCAGAATGCCATTGGTATCTTAGGATATTCCCCTTCCAACATCTTGAAAAGTGCTGAAATATTTCCTGATGTAAAACAAAAATCTCTTCGATCTGCCGATAAAACTATATAATTGGTGATTCAACTACACAAAAATAATTCTAAAATACTAAGGAAGTATTGAGGTAGGTAGTTTTGGTGAAGGAGGTGTGGATTATTCTCCCATGTTGTAGAAACACTGCCTGAACAATCATTGGCATACAGGACTATAAGTCCTTGAATTGGATAACTTGGACATTGTGCTAAATGCTCAATGGTTGACGCACTAAGGTGATAGGGTTTCAATGAAATGTGTGTTCTAACTTCTAGAAGGTAAATAAGACTGCCAATTTTTAGGTAACTCTTATATTTCAAGTTCCACCAACGTAGTCAGGCCATGAAAAAAGTAGTATAGTGCTGATATATAATAATAAAGGGTATGTTTTCAAACTAAACAGAATGCTCCTACCAAAATGAATTTGCCTACATATCCCTGAGACTCTTATCTGATAGATAGGATGCACAAATAAAACAAAAGTTTTGCTATTATAGGTAAAAAGTTCTCTTGAAATTTCATGTGATTTAACCTGTTAATTCTGTCCATGGTCCGCCATTTTTGCGGAAGATACACTGAAACGCAAACTCCATGAAACGAAACCACTAGAAAAAATGGCACACATTGCGCGCATGTGCAGCAAAGTTTAAACCAATCAGATTATTTGATTATTTTGCGCACATGAATTATTTGCTTCTGAGCACTTACAAGCTTTCCACAATGAAAAAACCTGGCAGAGACTACCCTTAGCCTTCTTCATTTTGGCGAAATTTCAGCTCAAACTCGTGACAAATGCATTATGCATACGCTGGTGTGAAGCCTTGGAGACACTCATATTTGTAAATATGATTTATGGTGTATACTTTTCTGCAGTTTGTGGGGGTTTGGGATATCAAATTCAAATGTTAAAATTCAAGAAAATATGCCAATAAACGACTGATCAATTATATATACCAGCACTGTAGACTACTGCTAAGTATCCCTACTTCGAAATGATAACCTCAGTCATTCCTTTCAAATATATTTGTTATTTTCTGAACTTAGAAATTTTATTGGATTTACATCTTAGTAATCCAAATCCAAGGCAACTCCAGTCCAATAGTCTAGGCTAGGAATAAGAAAAAACAGGAAAAAGATAAAAGATTGTCTGTTCGAAAACAGTATTTCTGGATCACTTACTGACTTGCTGTTGTGATATACGATTACAACTAAAACAGGTCTATATTCGGTTATCCCTTTCGTTATTTGAATACATCCAATATGTTTTATTTTCGATTAAATCGGTAACAAAAGTTGTGATTTCCTCATGCGATTTTAGAATTTTTTTGAGCCTCGATTCAGATTAAGTCACGTGACCAATTGAGTGACTTCCGGTTTGATTTCTGAAAAAAAGTGAATGCGGTCGTGCTATTTTGACATAAACTGTGTTAAAATAAATTGTAAGTTAATCATTCTCTTGCAAACTTTATAAGAACCCAATGGTTCTTAGTGGGTAGTATGAATTGAAAGCAACACTTACTGTATAAATATCACAGTTTGAGTTTCAGTTTGAAAAAAATATTTCACAAAAGACAAATCTTGATCTCTGACTGAGACATGTGGACACTGCATGTGATAGTGTAGTCCAACAACATTAGACCTAGCCTGGGCCTCGTTTCTTATCTGACATGTCTTATGGCTACGGCTAGGTCTAACCTCCGTGATCATTTTGCCCTTGATGCGTTAATTTAATCGTTCCGCAGGTTTCGACAAGCGGAACTAATTAAACCCTGAAACCATGGTCATATAACACAGAGAATGTGATTCAAGCATGCATACATACCTTATGAATACATACACACCATCCCGTATCCCCCTTAGACCCTATTGATGCATAATTACGAAAATATTGGAGACCGGTTTGGAATATAACGAAAATGTTGGTCAGTTTCGGTAACATCGAAATTGCAAATCGTATCAGAAATTAACCGTCATCGCGGCACTGCATTTACAAACAGTAGGTTTGCAATTAATAACTATTTTGCGTGTATACACGCGCTATATAAATCAATCAAAGATACCTGTTATCCTCAATATCCTCGAGTAATCGCGATAATAATTATCAATCTATTTGACAACAATTTCGTTTCGCTAGTTAGTAGTTTAATTTTACGATCCGGGACACTCGGACGAACAGACACAATGACGGACATGCGGAAATGTCATTTTAGAGATCGGTAAGTGTAGCCTAATTTTACGAGTATAAATGAACATTTAATAATATTGTGTTAAATCGCTTGATGTTATGTGTTTTTATATTATTGTCAAGTATCAATTGCACGTTATCGCGGCAAAATGGTTTCGATGGATCCAGAGCTTGCATCAAAGGAAAGAATAGCAAAGAGGTTAAACTCAATAACGGCCCCAAGAAAATTCCTAATAGTAAAGAACGCCGTTATTGAGTTTAACGACGTTGAACTAGTGATAGTGGAATACTATTACCTTATTCTTCGGCCAAAGTGTGGCCTTACGTTATCATCAAGCCCTGTTTGTTTTATTGCTTTTTACGCTATCCCGTGTGGACTGTTGCTATAAATTAACTCAAATGTAATAAACATACCTTCATTGAACTTAGTATGTAGTCTTAGTTCATATGACCATCTACATCGGCTTTTATTATCCCATCGAACAAAGTTCGGAGGGATATAGGGAACGCCTCCGTCCGTCCGTCCATACGGCCGTCCGTCCGTCTGTCCGTCCGTCCGTCCGGGCAATAACTCAAATACCATTGGCCCGATTTTGTTCATATTTTGTACACATATACCCTATGGGGGTAGAAGTTCTGCTCGAAAGCCGATTTTCAAAATGGCCGCTCACTTCAAAATGGCGGCCATTTTAGTGCCGATTTTACAGTAATTTAGGTGTGATATGTAAAACTGTAATAGCAATATGTTTTAAATGTAAAAAAATTATAAAGGACATTAATAATGCTACAAATGTAGATATTAAAGAAGCACATGGCAGCCATCTTGAAAAATGGCGGCCTTTACTCGTCATTTTACGATTTTTGCTATAACTCAAAAAATAGTGGAGCGATTTTGTTCATATTTGGTATGTGAATACTATAAGCATGGCACACTGTCCTATGACACTTTTGGTAGAAGGCGGCCATTTTGAAAAAAATTTTGAAAAATGGCCGCCATTTTAACGTATTTTACTATAACTCGAAAAGTATTGTAGCGATTTTGTTTATATTTGGTATGTGAATACTATAAGCATGGCACACTGTCCTATGACACTTTTGGTAGAAGGTGGCCATTTTGAAAAAAAATTTGAAAAATGGCCGCCATTTTAATGTATTTTACTATAACTCGAAAAGTAGTGGAGTGATTTTGTTCATATTTGGTATGTGAATACTATAAGCATGTCACACTGTCTATTTCTAATGACACTTTTGGTAGACAGTGGCCATTTTGAAAAATGGCCACCATTTTAACATATTTTACTATAACTCGAAAAGTAGTGGAGCGATTTTGTTCATATTTGATATGTTATTGTGAATACTTTAAGCATGGCACATTGTCTAATAAAACTTTTGGGGAGTAGTCGGCCATTTTGAAAAATGGCCACCATTTTTATGTGTGTTATTTTACAAGTACGTGTGCGATTTTTCAAAAATTTTAGAGGTGGCTACTTAGCATATTATTTCTTCTGATGCAACTTGGCTAGTGAGCAACCATTTTGAAAACAGTGGCCTTTCTGGTGTGTTGTTTTATGATATTTGCTATTCGTTTGTAAAAATGCCAGCCATTTCTGTTCGATGGGATTCGCTACGCTTTGGCGTTGCCGTTGTTCTGGTTTAGCCTTTTCTAAGAGCAATCTTTTGAAAATGATCCTTCGGTTTTCCTAATGATCTCATTATAGCTGTTGATTTTTGTATTTTCAGGTTACTGTCATATTCTTGCCTACTGAACTACTAGTATACGACTAAGTGAGGATGGCATCACATCAGCCAACAAAGCCTTCTGACCCGAGTGATGGCTTTAAATGTCCCCAGTGTGGAAAGTGTTTTCAGAAAAGAACAGTATTTAAGTATCACCAAGACATGCACATTCTTGAAAATACATTTTCTGGATCAGAACCAAAACAAAAGACACCTTTCCAATCTGGTTCAAACAACCCAGTCACTGTATGTCCATCAAAGAGCTATGAACTGTCTCATTCGAAGTATGATAAAGATCTGGACATTCTACAGAGCATATTTTCATCTGAGACACCAACGTATGTGAAAGAGAGTGCTCCCCAAATAGATTCCCCGCCTGCTATACAATGTAAAGTCTGTAAACTTCCATTTAGTAATGAACAGGATCTGCTGAACCACAGCTACATCGATTGTATTCGTGTTTCAAGTGGTAACAAAGTCAGCAAACTTCCCGAGCGTACAAGAGCTAAGATGGGCGTGAATATTGAGCCATTGAATGAGCCTCAAGGTCATGGAGATAAAAGATCAAGGTCAAGATCACCTGAAAGGGACTTGAAAAGACTTAAGGTGCCCCCTGTTAGTGATTCTGTCACTGCGGTTCTTAAATCATTCACGTACAAATGTAACAACTGTAGTGGGGAATTCACCAACTTTAAACGCTTAAAGATGCATCAAATCGATGGATGCAATAAGCCAATTGATGTAATAGATGATGGAGGTAATGAGAAAAATGATACACCAGAACCAGTTAAAGATTCACTTCCAGTGATGGGGTCAAAATCTTATCTTCAAAATAAGATTTGTGCTGGATGTGCGCTTACATTTGAGACAATAGGTGATTTGGAAGATCATTTACGCGGTTCAAAACAACCCGAATGTTGGTCAAAATCTTTCCCCGATAAGGTCATGACAGCAAATAAAAACTTCCCATGTGGTGACTGCTTCGAGAGATTTACAAAACTAGATGATCTTTTTGAGCATGATAACAACTGCACTGGATATACCTGTTTCAAGTGTTCTATAAGGTTTGATAGTGCAGTTGCATTAAGTGAGCATGCAATTTCCCATGGTATGTGGAAATGTAGACATTGCCCAAAGTCTTACCCTAAGAAAAAGCAGATGATGATGCATATTAAACTGGAACATCCAGAGCAACTCGGTATAAAAATAAATCCTGGAGATGAAAAGATCGTGAAATGCAGGTTGTGTCGTCAAATATTTCAGAAACCCGAGAGTTTGGAAATTCATATGAAAGAACATAAAGAGGTTCCAACATTGCCGTGTGAAGAGTGTGACAGAATTTTTACTTTCAAATGGGAGCTGAAATCGCATCTTAAAGAAACACATGGAATGACATTAGCAGAGCATGAATGTATAAGTTGTGGCGCAAAATTTCCAAAATTGAGAGGTCTTAGACATCACTACAGAGTTGACTGCAAAGGAGAGAAAAAAGTTTGCTTCCGTTGCAATATGACATTCGAGGATCATAATCTGTTTAAAGAGCACATGGAAGAACATAAAGAACAGTGGAGGGCTAGATTTAAACATGTACAATTTAAATGTAAACGTTGTCATAAAGTGTTTGGTGATCATAAAACATTGCAATATCATATTTACAGTTGTACTGGTGTTCCATCAAGGTTACCGGGAAATGTTCAATCAAAGTTACCAGAAAATGTTCCATCAACATTTTCAAAAACCCAAAAATCTAATGGAGGAAATTCATGCCCAGCATGTAAAACAGATTTTGAAGATCTATTTAATTTTCAAATGCACATTTATTCTGGAAGGTGCTCAAGTAGTGCAGAAACATCAGACACAAGATCAGAAGTTGTCATGGCACAAAGAGGGAACCATTCTGTGCCAGAAAATGCAGACTCTGAGTCAGTTTGGAAATCAGGAGAACAAAATCAGTTTATTTCTGCACAAGATAATCCGGGAATATCAGACACAAGATCATTAACACATAAAGAGTATGGTTCTGTACAAAAGAGAATGGAAAATCCAAACTGGAATTCAGGACAGCAAAATGAGTATGCTTTTACGTCAGATAGTGCTGAGATATATTCACAGATTGGAACTCAAAATAAGTATGGTTCAGTGCAAGATAATCTGGGAATATCAGTCACAAGATCATTAACACATCAAGAGTATGGTTCTATACATAATAGTTCGGGAAATCCAGACTGGAGTTCAGGACAGCAAAATGAACATGATTCTGTACAAGATAATTCAAGAATTCCAAACCCAAGAATAGAAACACAACAAAAACATGTTCCCTTGACAAATAACTCTGAAAAATCTCCATTAGAAGAAACACCAAGTTCTGTGGTTGATTCGTCCAAATTGGTTGGCACAATGGTATGTAAGCATTGTAATAAACATTTCTTTTCTAAAAAGAAATTCAACTCGCATGTTAGATATTCATTCTGTGACCTCAGCGAAGATCAGATTTACAAGTGCATATTGTGTAACCAACGATTTCGAACAGATAAACAGTTATTTACGCACATGAAAAAATGTCCTCGTCAGGATGCAAACGTGGACCTCGAAGCCTTGAAAAAGAAGGAGGAAAAAAGGCTTGTAAAAAAGGCCAGAAAACAACAAAAGATAGAACAGGCAGCAGAAGAAAATCGGATATGTCCTTACTGTGGGAGAGTATCCCACAGTCAGATGGCTCTTGAAGAACATAAGAGAAGGCACATAGAAGAGCCCACCATTAAGTGCATAACATGTGACAAGTTATTCTACACACAGCAAGCGTTAGAGAACCATGAACTTTGGCACATCAACCCTTTTAACCCAAAAGCCAGAAAACCTCATGCGAGGTCACTCAAGAAATGAAATGTAACATTAACCATTTTTATTCAAAAGGCAAAACTGATGTTGTGGCAACTAAAGAAGTGAATGTTTAACAACTCATTTTACCCAATAAATGCCAAAATCCGAAGTCTTGGAAGAATTGAAATGTTCCAAGTTTGAATTGGGACTGTTACACAACAAATAATTCATGAGTATACAGTGTCACTCCCGGGGGTTTCACTCCAATATACTTCTTAATACCTATGTGCCGCCCCAGAGACCCCCTTTTTAAGCATTTTTTCCATTTCAATTTCCTCTCAATATTGAAGGTTTCCATGTTTAATTCCTCTGAGACTAATAAATGACTAATTTTGACTTAAAAAGGGTGTTTTCTTAGACAATTTTCCATGTTTTTTTCCTCTCAGATTGGCCAATTTCCATGTTTTATGCTCAAAGCCAAAATTGACCGTGCTGTACATACCTACCCAAATTATTTGGAGTGAACCCCAGGGTGTCGCTATTCAACAATACATGCAGCTTGTTAGGTGATGATTAGATGTTAGTTAATTTGTGTATGGTATTATTCTTTAATTTTGAAATTATATGGAAATTAATTTAATGTGTGTCACCCATTCATGTGTTTATGTAGAAATACACCACTCAATGTATACAGAATACCAGATCATTTTGAGTGATATCATTTTTATCACTAGAAATGGTCTGATATTGGGTTTATCACATGATTTCTATGAAAAATTCAAAAAAATTCAAATTCATGTATCACATGGATATGGATGGGATAAATGATATCAACTGCATATGAGGTTGATCAGATAAACAGTTTTCTGAAAAATATCACACAATTATATCATGTGATAACACATGAACTGTGAGATCAACTTTATTATCTTACGATTACGTTTTACCTGTACAATAACAGCTAGTGATTTTTTTCTGATATTATTGAAATCCACGTGATATTTTTTAGAAAATCATTTATCAACCTCATATATGTGGTTGATATTGTTCTTCGCTTACTCATGTTGATATTTGATATCAACTCGTGGATGAAAATGATATCACTGACTCAAAATGATCTGATATTCTGTATTTATTTTATCGCTGTCATATTTCCCACTCTTTCATTAGTCTTTACATTTCACGTGACAGAAAAATAATAAGACATATTCAACGGCCATGCCTGTGATGTTAGAAAAAAGGGCGTATTGTTCAGTGAATACACCTTGCTAGAATCATTGAAAGATGAACAGGTATTCACCTCATTAATATGAAATATTTGTATAATATTATGAATGATATTGTCAACGTACATGTACAATTGTTTGAGTTTACACCATATAAGGCCTCTGTATGTTTTATATATTTACTAGAATAGTGTTATATGTTCTATAGTGATATGCACCATTCTCACAAAAATAGGGACAGGTCATTTTGCGCCCAGTTTACACACATGCTTTCTAGAGACTTTAATGATCACTTTAGGCCCATAGCCAAGATTTGTGAAGGGGGGTTTACTCAATGTTGACGCACATGAAAAGTGCTGAGAATGGTGAAAAACTATTATTTTCGCTCGAACCCCCGAACTCCCTCCACCTATGGGCCTGATCTTTCATTTAGTTGCAGATAGAATAAAATCTTGAATAGAAGAAAATAAAATACATGGTGTCCCAAAAGTATGGGACTCCCCTTAGGCAGACATACCAATGTCTCCATAGCATGTGTCATATATCATTTTAAAGCTGATTTGTCCAGTATCATGGCTCAACTCACAAATGGGTAAAAGTTCCAGGCATTTTAAAATTAAGTGTTCAGCCAAAATTAAAGTTCAGTTTTACACCAAATAAAACTTCTAAAGCATTTTAGTAGAGTTTCCTTGAGGTATCTGCCCTTATCGTCCTCTTTTTCTAACTCAATATTAATCCTATCTTTGATGATAGCACACATATTTTAAGTCACATACAGGTCAGAGCTGTTTCCAGGATACTCTTCTTAACTTTAATTTTAGCCAAACACTACGTTTTGAAATACCTGGAACTTTTTCCCATTTGTGAGTTGAACCATGATAATGTATCAGTGTAACTTTGGATAAGCTTTCAAATGATAAGTGACACATACATGTAGTATGGAGACATACAGGTATTTGTCTGCCTAGGAGGTCCCATACTTTCGGGACACCCTGTACATAGTTGTATCATAGTACTGTATATACATGTACATGTATATGTAAATGCCTTGGACAAAAATATAATTTCAAAAAGCAATGTCTTGTTATTTTAGATTTTTTCTGTCCATTG